TCATGGAGAAGCCAACAGAACTATCCCCACGGCTGCTGGCTGGGCCCAATTCCTGCCCAGAATCCTGGCAGAGAGAGTTCCCCTCCCTGCACTTAGCTGTCGTGGGCGAGAACAGCCCAGCACCAAGCAGGCATCTCCCGGGGAGACACAGGCTGGCGCTGAGGGCTGGCTCCTAGTTGGAAGAGCTGTTGTTGTTAGGGGCCATCGAGTCAGGTCTGACTCCCAAGCACCCCATCTGCACCAGAATGACCTCTGCAGGACCCTCAACAATCATCGCTGTGCTAGACCCTAAGGCTGCAGTCACTGTGTCAACCCATCTCATTGAGGGTCTTCCAGCCCCTTCTCCGGGGGTCCATGAGCACCCGAAAGCATCAAAGGCAGCCCCCTCCCTACTGACTCAATCTCGCTTCCTGTGCAGCTTCTGCAGGGATCAGAGTTTGTCATCACGGCTGTTGATCTGAGTCACAGGAAGGGAAACAGCGCTTGGACGGAAGCCACACTCTGATGCTCTCAGCAGCCCAAGCGCCAGCCGGCCTCCCCGCGGAGGGAGCAGCGCCTTCTGAGGGGCTTAAAACATCCCCTCTGCGCTCCTGATGCATCTCATTTCCTGGAACGCACAGAATTCTGGAAAGGCTTTGTGACGGCTTAAGATAACAGATCAACTACAGAAGATCTAAATGACTTCACAAGAAAAAAAGAAGTCATGCTCAGCGCCAAAGAAACTGCAGGCTTTGGTGAAAATCCTTCTAGAACTCTACATATTTATACACACAAGCATGTGAAATGTTTTGGTGGGACAAGCGAGAATCGGGCCCTACAGTTTATGCCCCTCTCCCATTTACTCTTTTTCATGTAATAAAAAATATATATATTATCTGCATATTTCTACATCAATACAAGGGGACTCTGGTGGTAAGCTGTGCTGCAATCCCTAAGGCACACAGTTTGAATCCACCAGCTGCTTTACAGGAGACAGATGGGCAGTCTCCTCCCATGTGATTTACTGCCTCTGAAAACCCACAGGAGGGTCAGCCGTGAGTCAGTTTTGACCCAATGGCACACACCAACAATATCAACACAATGGGACTCCTCTCAGTAGGGCTGCTGATTTTACTAGGTGCTGTTAAGTACTCTAGGTTAACTAGGGAGCTCTGGTGGACCAATGGTAATGAGCCGTGATGCAATTCCAAAGGCACGGGGTTCGAATTCACCAGCTGCTCCGTGGGAGCAGAATGGATTTTCTTCTGGCATGCGATTTACTGTCTCTGAAAATCTGCTGGAGGGTCAACTATGAGTCAGTTCCAACTGCATGGTGCACATAACAACAACAGATTAAGTACTGAGTTGCTAACAGAAAAGTCAGCAGATCAAACCCACCTGCCGTCCTAATGAAAAGAGATGAAGCAGTCTACTCTTGTTAAGATTTACAGCCTTGAAAACCCAAAGGGGTGGGAGGCGGGGGTTTCCATGAACTGGAACTGAAGTGATGGCAATGGTTTTGGTCAGCAGTACAACACACACGCTGTGGCATACAGCAGCTGGGCACCTGGGCTGTGGGGTTTAAGTCAGTATTGCTATTGATCTGAGTAAGGATGACAGGCATGGGTTTGGTCTGGTGATAGTGAACGTGAAGATGATGGACGTGGGTTTGGTCCAATGATGCTGTATGTGAGGACCGACAGGCGTGACTTTCATTCTCATGGTTTGGTGAGGACATGGTTGTTCACAGGTCAAATTCTTGACCTCCACCCAGGATATCTCCATTTGGCTCCTGGCCCACGACCACACACAGTCCACACTCGTCTGCAGGCTCATGTGATAACTGTGATGCAGAACAGGCTTCAGAAGGCCTCCACACTGACCAAGACAAAAGACTTGACAAACCACTTGCAAAAAAAAAATCAGGTGAATGGACCCTTCCGAGCCACCAGGGTGTGGTATGCATGGCATCATGGGATGGCACAGAGCCATGCAGCATTTCAGCTCCCATGGGCCACCCTCGGCCACCATCAGCCAGAAACCTGTTTGACGGCAGCTAGCAACACTGTAGCAACATAAACTATGCCAGGAGTCACAGGAAACATCCTGGGAGCCCTGGTGACACGGTGGTTAAAGCGCCAGGCTGCAAACCCAAGACGAGCTGCTCTAATCACCTGCCACTCTGCGGGAGGAAGCCAGACTCAACAGTGTGCTGTCACTGACTGCTGCTGCTGCTGTTCTTTGGGGTAACTAAGTTGGCTCCAATTCGCAGCCACCCTCCAGACAACAAAATTACCCCTGCCCGTCCTGCCCTGTCCTCACAGCTGCTGAGCCCACCGTTGTTGACAGTGTGTCAAACCAGCCCACCGAGGGTCTGCTGTTAAGATTTACGCCCTCGCGAACTGTCCGAGGCAACTCTACTCGGTCCTATATGGTCGCTGAGCTGGAACCCAGCCCACAGCAGGATTTTAGTTTTTTGGTTTTTTTATTTTCTTTTATTATTTTTGTGTGTGTGTCAAATCAGATCTGACTGGTACAGGAGGAGATTGTCCCTCCTTTCCCTGCAGAGCATCTGGTGGATTCGAACCGTGTGCCTCTGGGATTGCAGTGCAGCTTCTTACCACTAGGGCACCAGAGCTCCACTAGGAATTTAGTTTTTGAAGGAGAGGACTGGGTCCCCCACACGACCCATACTCCACCCCACCCACACTCCCCAGAGCCCCCTCCAGTTCTCCAAAGCCCACACCTTGGAGTAAAGTGTCTTCATCACAAAACACTCCTCATTGCGGTGTGATCCCTGCAAAGTCCCTTCCTCTCCCTGGTCCTGTGCGCCCGTTTTTCTAGCGAGGAGGTATTTCAGGAGCTCCGGTGGCACAGACGGTACTGAGCTGTGCCGCTAATCCGAAGGCAGAGCCATTATTCAAGGGGACTTGGACAAATGTCCCCTCCCTCTTCCAGCACCCCGCCCCAGCCACAATTAAAGCCGAGTGGCAGAAAAGTGTTCTCACGTCCCGAAAGCATGTTTGTTGACCGTCTAGAAAAATAAAGTTCCCTTTGCCTTCTCAGAAGAGGCCCAGTGGCATGCTGGTTAAGTACTAGACTGCTGACCTAAAGTTAGCTGTTCGAACCCACCCGCTACTCTGTGGGAGAAAAGACCTAGTGATCTGCTCCTACAATGATGACAGACCAGGGAATCGTGTAGACAGCTGTGTCCTGTCCCACAGGGTCGCGGTAACATAGAACAGACTTAAGAGCAGCAGATTTGGGCTTTCATTTTCCTTCTCTTTCCTCGCCTCATGGCCAGAACTTCTGGGGGTCACTTGTCAAATGATATGCATGCATAACACAGGTCAACAGTAATTAATTATACAAAATACAGTGAGTATGCATGGTGGTCTAAAACATGCTATAGATGAACGATTATAAGCAAGCCAATTTAAAAAATTACTGAAGCAGTTCATATCCACCAGATGCTCTGCTGGAGAAAGAGAGACAATCTCCTCCTGTACCAGTCAGATCCGATTTGACAGTACACATACAAAAAAGAATAAAAATGAAATTAAAAAAAAACTTAAAAAATTACTGAAGTAGCACTATAAAACCCAAACAAAGACGTGTATGCATGGTCTAGACATGGGCACTCACAGGTCCCTCAGCAGCTGTCCTCTCCCTTCCACGACCACCCCTGCACCCCATCCTTGTCATCCCTCACCCTTCACCAAATCCAGGAAGTAAAGAAAATGTGTGTTTCTTTACGGAAACCTGAATCTATTCCATTAAAAAAATAATAATCTTGATTCAAAAGACAAATATGCAGAGATTCCAAGTGTTCCAACATGGTTACAAATACACAGCAATTGTGTTTTTACATCCCTGTTTGGATAATAAACAAGAACAGTCACTCACACCCTAGTCAACCACAGGGCCTTTGCATCACAGTGCCTCAGGCCTGGAGCATTCTTATTCTACCATTCCCATATCACCCCAACAGGCCAGGGTAACCCTTCGTTTTCCCAACCCCACCTTCAATCCTGTTGAAGTCAGTCCCTGTGTGCTCTAATCCACCATCTAAAAAAAAGAAAGAAACGACGGGTAATCTCTCAACGGAGGAAACCTGGGGAAGGTGAGTGATGAGTTGGATCCACTCACCAGCTTGAGTCTGTAGAGAAGGGTGTCTTAGTAAAGAGGGGGTCAACGAAAATGAAATAAAAAAGAGAGACACTCAGCGAGATGGATTCACACAGCGGCTGAAGCAATGGCTCTTGCACCGTAACACTGTGAGGACAGCGTGGGACGGGGCAATGTTTTGTTCTGGTCACAGGATCCCTTTGAGTTTGAACTGACTCCACAGTACTTCACACACACACACCTTCACCCGTCAACAGAACGCCGGCTCTGTGCCAAGATGATCCCTCTGTCCTATGACTTTGTTTGATTTTTGCCTCATCACAGTTGTTAACAATCTAAAATAATGTTATTGTTTATCCCTTTTCAAATGTCAGTCAGCCGTGTGACAGAACAACTGAATAAATGAATGACACGAGCTTTGCTGGGTTTCAATCTTGTACAAAGTGACCCTTCAGTGTCGAAATCTCAGAGCCGCCAATTGTTGGCTTGAAGGCATCTTTTTCCTTTTTCTCTCTTAAAATGTCACTAGCCTATTCAAATGTAAACTATTCACTAAGATCACCTTCTAGCAAAATAACAAAAGCGGCACCGAAAATAACATGGCACCCACGAGTATGTGGCTCCATCCAAAACCATCTGTGTAAGACCAAAAGGTCACCTATTCCACAAAAACAAAGTGGGGGGCAGGGAAACTAGAGTGCTAGACACAGAACCACCGGAACGCTGAAACACTGCAACAAGCTGCATGGAAATCGTCAAATGGGAATCTACATTGCTCGGTAGACTTTCACAGATAACACAAGAAAGTATCACGACGAAGAAATCAGGAGCCCACTGCAGACACTCAAAGAATCCTCAGCTTTCAACTCTGAGAAGGGAGGCCTGTGACTTACCAGTGGGACCCAGTAGGTGTAGAGGGCGCCGAGTCTCATTTCAGGTACAAACTGGGAGCAGGCGAGGAGTAAGAAATAGAGGTTGAAAAAGTACTTGAACTGGTTGAACAGCACCTGGAATGCAGAGAGAATCGAGGAAAGCGCCGTTAACATTCAGGGCTCTGCTGACAAGATTTCATAGACTGAGAGGGAAATACTACTACTTTGGAGCAATTCTTTTTTTTTTTTTCTTTTTTTTTTTATAATTATATTTTATTAATTTTCATAAACATTTACAGAGATTTTGGGCTTCCACTCATTCATTGTTGCACTATTCTCTCTACCCTCCTCCCAGTTTGTTCTTGTCCAAATGCCACAGTGCTTGTCAAAGCCAGTTCTGATTAATCTTCTTTGTCAGTGTATCCTTTGCCATTCCCTATCACTCCTCCCTGAGAGAGACTTCACCCTGAGTCATAAGGAAAAGGGGACGGCGTATTCTCTTAGCTACTTCCTGCTGAAAAGGGACGCTGTGGGTTTCAGGGTGAAGATCTTCTCTCACTACTCTAAAGGGCCCCTTTGGCAGTAGGAAACACATAGACTATTATGGAGATTGATTTTGGAATTCAGATGCACTCTTATTGATTGTGCTTGGCTGTACATGTACATATCCTTCAAGATGTATCATGGGGGTGTTGCAACCTAGAAGACACAAATTTGACTAACAAGTTATAAGTACATGAGTCCAAAAATTATGGAAAAGTAAAAGAAAAGATTCTTTCATTGTTTTACAAACCCTCCCCCAGGTCCCCTCCACCATGCAGCCCTCGCTCTAGTCTCCTGTGATGACAGAAATACCCAGTTACATCTCTCTTTTAAACGGTTCTCTCCCTCCTCTGCTTCAGTGCAGTATACATTATTGAACCCATCTTACTCAGTCTCTCCCCAACCCCAAGGACAGTCCCATTCTACAACAGTGGCATCATGTAATATTTGTCCTTTTGTGACTGGGATATTTCACTCAGCATAATGTTCCTTTGGAGCAATTCTTGCAGAAAAGTAGGAGTCCTGGTGGTAAAGTGGGTTATGTACGGGTCTCCTCGTCAAAAGGTTGAGGGTTCGAATCCTGCAAGTGCTCTGCAGGGGGAAAATCGAGACAGTCGCTTCCACTCTGAGCTTTAGCTTCAAAATTGACTATTCTTGTTGCTCCCTGCCACTGTGTCGGCACCGATTCAGAGCTGGCCCAGCAGCGCAGGAGAAGACTGGGCACCTTCTTCCTGAAGAGCAGCTGGTGGTTCTGAACCACGTGCTTCTGGGTTGGCAGCACAACTCCTCACCTGCGAGGCCATGAGGTTCATTAGACATTGTGATTATTTAATTACATTAATTAAGGGCAAATTTGGAAGCAGGAGTGGTATCCGCTTCCTAAATAACGTGCCTCTGGACACTCTATGAACTTTGATAAATGTCGATAGTTGTAGAGGGGCTTCAGGCCTTTTGTTCATAGGGTCGTTATGACTTGTGCTCAACTCGAAGGCAATAACAACAACAACAGATGAAATTAGAGTAACACATTTATCTTCATTCAATATATTAAATTATGATATTTTCTATATTTAACATGTGTATCAAGACATTAAAGAAAAAAGTAAGCATTTTTTTTGGTTGCTTTTGTTTTGTATGTGTTCGTGCTGGAAATAATGCAAGGTTCTCAAATGTATTTCTTTTTTTTTTTTTTTTTACAGCAGATTATGAGGTTATTCTCACTGACCAGGTGGAGTCTCTGAGCCTTATGGACAGATGCCAGCCCCCTCAGGTGCCCAGGAAACATAAAGGGCCAGTGTTTGAGGAGGGGAGGAGACCCAGTCTGTCTGCAGAACACCTAAGACTGGCACCATCATGCATGTTTGGAAAGGGCCCTGGTCCCTGCCCGAACTCACTCCAGGAAGGAAGGTGAAGAAGTTGTACTTCTGGTTGTTGATGACATTCCGGGGGTATCTCTGGTCTCGCTTCTCGGGGTGCCCCAGCCAGACCGTGCGGGGCCGGGGTTCCCCTCCACCACAGCATCTCAGCCATTCGCAGCACCTGTGGAAAGACACGCCCACACCGTCAAAGCCACGCCTACTGCGCAGAGGCCACACCCACCCATCCCCTCTCGGGAACCTGTCTTCTCTCAGGCAGAAGTGGCTGCTAAGGGAACAATCCAGGCTTCTAAGAAGCTCTGCTCCAATGAAAAGAGGCTTTTCTTTTTTTTTTTTTTTTTGTCTCCCCAAGTTCAAATTATTTCATTTAAAAAGTGGAATTCATTTTGAAAGCAGGAAGGTTTCTGTTCAGAAGGTAAACGACACAGCCAGTCTGACAGGGTACCCACTGCACAGATGGGAAAGGCGGATCCGCAGCGCACCCACCCTGTTTACGGCTGGCCTGGCCGCCCCGTGCCCTTGGCCAGCGACACGGGTTATCACACGAAACAGAAAGACGGGGGACCTATCCAGGCAGCTTCTCAGCCATTACATCCCAGCCACCGGGCAGTGTACCTGGCCCCCGAGCATTCCCTCCCCACCTCTATACCCACTGGCATGTGTCCCCCACCCAGGATCCCAGTTCCACAAAGGCAGGTCAGAGTTTGGAGGGGGAAATGTGTCCACACGGCGTTTAGAAACTCCTAAGTCCCCTGAGAAGCCAAGATGAAAAAGCTCAAGTGGGCCTCCCTCCCCACCCCAACACACCCGGGCAGCGCGGCGGGGACCAGGACCCCCCTGTGCCCAGCCCTGAGGTCCCCCCAGCTAAAGTAAAACCCTGCAGACAGCGAGGCCACTCACATTATTGTCCACCGAGGACCTCCTCCTCTCTCCCCTTCCTGCTCTGGCCACGCCCGGGCTAGAGCCGGGGCAGGAGCCTGCAAACCCAGCCCCTTCGCATCAATCAGCTCAACATCAGCCCCGCGGCTGCCCGGTTTCAAATTCCCAGGCGGAAACGCATCGTTCCTTCTTAAAAATAGCAGCCTTATTCCAGTAAAGGGTGCTCTCAAACGCGCAGGTTCCACTGCCGGGCACTCACGCCTGCAGGCTTCCAGATCTCAGCAAAGGCCAGAGGCACACCGGGGGGCAGAGGGGGGACCCTCAGAGAGCCCAGGGGCTCCTTCCAGGCTGCGTCCAGGTGCAAACCCCCACCCTAGCCTCTGCTGCGCGTGAGCCAGACACTTAGGTATGAATGTAAGGAGCAAGGAAGGGGGGAGGAGATGAGGGAGGGAGAGAGGCCAAGGAGGAAAAATACAGAGAGAGGGAGAGAATGAAGGGGGAAGAGGGACAGGAGGCAGGGGAAAGGGGAGAGGGCAGGGAGAGAGCTAGGGGAAGGGGTGGGTGGCTGGGGGAGACAGAGGGAGACTGGGGGTAGAGAAGATTTACTTGACAGGAAAGCACCCCACTATTTGCAAAAATGTAATTCTCCATCCTATAATAAACTTGTAATTATGTTCCACAGTTGGTGGCTGGTAAGATTTTTTTTTTTCTGTTTTACCAGTTGGTTCCACCCATGATGGTATCACGTTAAGCTACCAGGCAGGACAGCACTAGCCAGAGGAGGAAGGGACAGGTTCAACAAGCCGGGACCATCCAGGAGATGGAATTCCCCCCAGCCTGTAAAGGATGTGGAAGTGTGGTGTGCCCTTCCTATTTCCAAGACCCATTACATCCGGGCACAAGGGGCCAGTGGGTTTCAGAGGGTGAATGCTCTCGTTCAGGGAAAGAAGGAACAGAAGTATCTTGGCAAAAGCGCAGCCAGAGTGCTCCTCGGAGGCAAAAGACGATAAAGCTCCATCTCATTGTTTCAGATACTTTGGGCCCGTTGCTAGGAGAGGTTATTCCTTAGAGAGGGAAATGCCTGGGAAGGTGGCGAGATGGTGAAGGAGAGGAAGACCCTCACACAGATGGACTGACACAAAGACTACAGCAATGGGTCTGAGGTTGTTGGCAAAGCTGGGAAAGAAGTTTTTTTTTTAAAAAAAAATAAACCCACTGCATTACCTATACCCTTACTTTGGTATTGTTGCTGTGTGCTGTCAAGTCGGAAGGGACACATAGTTGACCTTCCAGTGGGTTTTCAAAGGTTGTACCTCACACAGGAGGAGACTGCCCATCCTTCTCCCTTGGAGCACCTGTTGGACCTGAACCGTGGTTAGCACTGCAGGACAGCTATTTCATACATATCAGCTATGCCATGCTAGTTTTTCTGTAGCTGACTTATTTTGCTTAGTATCATGCCTCTAGATGAATCGATGTTATCAGTGCTTTCTGAATATTGTTTTTTAGTATTGCATATTACTCCACTATGTGAATGTACCATTGTTTCTTTATCCGTTTGGCTATTGATAGATACTTACATCAGACTCTTTGCTATTGTAAATAATACTGCAATAAACACGAGGGTGAATGTGTCAGTTTGTGCTGCAGCTCTTATTTCTATGGGACATATACCTAGTTGTGAGACAGCTGGATCAAACAATATTCTCGACTAAGAATGTGCCGAATTGTCTGCCACAGTGGTTTCACCATTTCACATTCCCACCAACAGCGCATGAGAGTTCCAATCTCTGCAGCATTGGTTGCTTGCTGTCTTAATGAACTTTGCTATGGTTGCTGAGGAGCTCTGGTGGCCAGAGGTTAGGAGCTGCACTCTCATCCCAAAGGCATGCAGTTTGAATCCATCAGCAGCTCTGAGGATGTAAGACGGGCAACCTTCTCCTGTGTGATTATAGCTTCCAAAAACCTGCTGGAGGGTCAACTAAGAGCTGGTTCCGTGACCTTTTGTCACCACTGCTGCTGGGGTGAGATGATGCCTCATGTTGCTTTGATTTGCATCTAAAAGCTAAGGCTCTTGAGCATTTTTCTATCTATTTGTTGGCCATGTGAATATCTCCCTTGGAGAAGTATCTATTCATGCCTTGTGCTCATCCTGACACTGTATTGTTTGCAGCTTTCTTGTTACAGTGTTGCAGTTAGTTTGCTATACATTTTAGAGATTAGTCCCTTATCAAATATGTCACTGCAAAATAAATTTTCCCTTTTAGTCTATTAGAGAATTTTTAAAAATTAATTATTTATTTTTCATTTCAATGAACATCTACAGAGATTTTGGAATTCCATTCATTTATTGTTATACCCTTCTCCCCGCCTACCCCCCTCCCCCTCCCCCCCATTTGCTCCTCTCCCTGAAATTTTTATATACATAAAAATTTAATGTTTAGGTGGTTTATATTTTATCCTCTGTTCTTTTGTGCATTTTCAATGAATTTTTATAATCTATTACTTTTTTAATAGTTATTTAATTGTTGTTGATTGTCATTGAGTAGAGCATGACTCATAGCAACCCTATGAACAAAAGGCTTGAAGCCTTTCTATAACTATCATCATTTTTCCAAGTTCACTGTGTTTTCGGAGGCCTGTGGTTTAGGAAGTGGATGCCACTCCTGCTTCCAAGTTTTTTGATTACAGATGCTAAATTTATCCCAATTTTTTTCTTTAATTATTCTTATAGTTTTAGAGTTTATAAATAAATAGGTAAGTTGGGTGAAAGGAAAGGCAATATACAATATGCTTATCAGACAACTCATCTATTAACATCATGTATATGAATGAGCTAATGAAATTATAATTACAGTATTATTTTAAAAGACATCATCTCCCTCCATTACTCAGGAGCTGATGTCAGTGCTGAAGGTCACACACGTGTAAACTTGTAAGAGAATCCTGCCTCAGCCAAGGTGAGCTGAACTGTAGCCACTTCCATGCCACGTGTGCAGGGTCTCTAACAGTGAAGCACATCCACTGTCTCCCGCCATGATCTGGGCCACATGTGGCTGTTGCCAGGGACCATCTATTCAGTTCTGATTCACAGCGACCCTGTTTACAACAGAATAAAACTCCCCAGAATAAAGCCCCAATCGATGCCATTCTCACAATCTCTGCTGTGCTAAACCCATTGAGGCAGTCACTGTGTCAATCCATCTCATTGAAAGTCTTCCTCTTCAACTTGGCCTTATCTGCAAAAAAACTTCCCCATGATCCCTTGTTTTTGTTTGGGGTTTGTTTGGGTTTTTTTCCTATCCCTTGTTTTTGTCTTCTACTCCCTTGTGATTTTCCTTTGTTTATCTTCCTTATGATTCTCAATAAATACTCAGAGAAGAATGGCTTGAGGCCTTCAGTCATGGGAACTGCTGGCCCAGTTTTTTTATGCTCTCTGTTCTATCCAAAACAAACAAACAAACAAACAAAACACAAAGTCTTCCTCTTCTTCAGTCACCCCCTACTTCGCCAGCAGGACGCCCTTCTCCAGGGACAATTTCCTTCTGATAACATGTTCAACGTGCATGAGACTTGAAGTCTCACAATCTTTGCGAGACTTGAAGTCTCACAATCTTTGCAGCTGAAGAACATTCCGGCTGCACTTTTTCTAGAACAGACTGGCCACATGGCACACTTTCAATCAGTGGATTGGGGGTGGGGGAGAATGAGTCTTTCTGGAAGACACCTGGCAATTTTTGGTTGTCCCAACTGAGAGACCAATTTAATCCACTGCTATCAAGTCTATTTCAATTCATGGTGCCCCTCCCTCAGGTTCTGAGTCTGCTAATCTTCTGAAGCAGATTATCTCTCTTTCTTGGTGTAGCTGTGAAGTTCAAACTGCCAACTCTTTGGTTGGCAGCCCACAGCTTACCCTGCTACATCACCAGCAGTGCCAATGGCACACACAGAATCTAAAAGATACTTCTAGACATCCTACAATGTACAGGACCAACACCCAACAAAAAAGAAATGACACAGCCCAGAATGTCAACATTGCCAAAGTGGAGAATCCTTACCCTCTGTTTGTTTTACTCATGATTTGTTTTAATCGTGGCTCACTTCACTTGCATAGATTTATGGTACAGGAGAATTCCACCGAAATTAAATCATTACCATAAATGGACGGAACTCTGGTAGCACCAGTAGGTTTGCATTCCAGAAGTCAGGCAGCTGGGAAGCACCAGCAGCTCCGCAGGGGAAAGCACTGGCTAACTGGTCCCATAAAGACTAGCGCT